GGAAAACTCAAAACATGTTTTTACTTCCATTTACCAATTATAAAGATGATTAAGCCAGCCAGTTCTGATCACCATATCCTCCAACTTAAGAGCACCCTTTTCATTCATGTATTAAGAAAGGAAAGCAAGAAAGCATGATTACCATTTCGTGTCTAGCTTTCAAACAGGTGAGCAACCTGAAATGAAGAAGAGTTCTGCACCTGCAAAAGAGGAAAATGGTCTAGGCCAACTTAGCATTTCACTAAATCCGTGGTAAAGGATTTGGAATCAGTTCGATAGTCCGATTTTGTAACCGTTTCTAAAAACGTGTATTGCTTAAATATGTGAATTAAGAAATCCTTTAAACTGATAATCTACCAGTAACCTTTCAAAAGCCTAAGTTTTAAATTTTTCATGATTTGGTTTTGACTAGTCTATCTTGTTCCAAGCTATTCTTTGCTAAACACTTGTGTAAAACAGCTTCTCTCAAGCGTTGACCTTATAAAGGCTGAGAGATCCTCCTAATCTACCGAGGACTCAACACTCCTGGTTCTTTAGATTCAGAACTACGCAGCAAAAAACAGGAAGACTTACTTCGAAGGTATCCAAGGTAACAAATCAGCAGATACTGAAATGCAGTGTTCATATCACATTCACACTGACTAACAAGACAGGCACATCTTCTCTTTCCCCTATAGTTTATGAACTCAAAAAAAAGTTTTAAGTAGTTGCGCCACCCAATTATTCTAATTTAAAAGTGTTCTAACTTTTCCATATCACACTATGAAGAAAAACCAACTGAGGCGCTTAAAAGCTCTTGGTTTCAAAGCATATCCACTTTAGAGGAACATTCATTATGAGAAAAGTAAGATTACACAGCCCATGAAGAAAAGGCTGCTTCTGCAGCCAAATTGTATTTACAGTCTTTCTTGCTACCTGTAGTGAAGTACTGTCCAAAAACTCTGACTGTCCAAAACCACTGAGGCTCTCTCTCTCTCACACACACAGAAAACACTCTGGAAAGTTGCTATTTACTATACTCTGACTTTTTTTAATATGGGCTCATAGAACTTGCAAAGACTAGTTCCCCCCCACACCTTTTGCCAGGCATCAGTTTTCAAACATAGCTATCATTTTTCTGGGACTGTCCAAACATACTGTCAGACGGCCTAGGGTAAAAATTAAAAATTGTTTCAATAATAACAGCTAAAAAGAGATCACCGTTTCCTCAGGTGTTGCGTCCAACACAAAGGAAACGCCTGAGAAGATAACAGATGCATTCCACTTTACACTATGTGCCACCCAATGTTGACAACTCATTACTTTTACTCAGAATTTAAGTACCCATAGTTAAACAATATCAATATACAAAAGTTAGTTATTTCAATTCATTTCTCGGAGTAGCACTCTGCAGAAGTTATTTTTATGCCAGGATAGAGCCCATCAGAACAGTTTTACAGCAGGCTAACTGTTGAGTCTAAGCCCAGCTGACAACATTTTTTTTTTACAGGCTGAAAGACAAATAAGGACAAGAGTCTTTTGTGGCTGCAAACAGGCACCTTAGGAGAGAAATCTCAATCCAAAACAATCCCCGGATGTCCTGCCGCTGTCTGGGATACCACCCCAGTGAAGGATTCACCTTCCACACTGGCTATCAGATCAACAACAAGCAAACCATTGAGATACAGGCAAACTTTGAAAGAGAAAGAAACTTGAAAAACGAAAACCATAAGCCAACATGAGATTTAAAAGAGAAAGTGGAGTTTCACCAGACTATGCAGAGCCAACATACGGGCTTGCATCCGCTGAAAAATGTGATGCAAGACCTCCCTTCATCTTCTGCTTCCTTCTGCACACTCTTTTGCACTAGCTCCTGCACTCATGCTCCTCCGGGAGTGCATACAACTCACTAAAACAACAAAACTATCCCAGCAGAGAGCTGATAAGCTAGACCAGAAAAAGGTCTACTTCACTAAAATGGCTGATAACCAAGAAGTACTTGAACTATGAATAGAGAGAGGAGTGGCCACACAACTGGGAAGGGGAAGAAAAAAAAAAACACACACAAACAACAAGACCTTGTCCTTTTGGTGGCAGGCTGCTAGCTCACTGCACCTCCTGAAAGTACAGTTTCTGAGATTATCTCAGAGGCAGTGCCTCCCTGACAGGGAATCCAGAGGGTCTTTTCCAGGCAGCAGCAAGCAGAAGAAACAATAAGGGACAAGTTACTAATAAGCAAATACCAGAACATTTCAGAACTGCGATAAGTGTTGCATCAGGTCTCATTTAATGAGTCTGCCATGACTCTTATTAAAATATCTGTCCACAATGAAAATGTGAAGTTAGATAAAAATCTAAGTTCTTTAAGTCAGGAATTAATCACTGACATATTAGTTCAAGACTCCCCTTGATGAGCGCAACCATTAAGTCACTGCCATCTGCTGTCTCTGCAATAACTGATGAGAAATGAGCACAGGTTTTTCCCGAATACGTTTCCACTTGATAAAACACCATTAGAACTGACGCAGCCTGACATTCCTGGACTTCACAGCAGAGAAGCCAAGAACCAAACAGACGCAGCACTGAATCTTCCTTTCTCCTTAGCTCAAAGGCAGCTCCTCCAAAAGCTTCTTCGATCTGGGGAAGAACTATCAGTCAGAAGATGGGGCTAGAAAAGACTCAGAGAAGACAGCTAATTCTTTCTTGAACTACATCTAAATCATTCATGACAGATATTTAGTAACAAAAGAGATGCCCCAGTCAATCTCCCTGCAAAAACTAATCCAGGCCTAAAGCTCGGATATCTAATTTCATACATCCACAAACACACAACGGCAGCAGAAGGCAGTCACCTCTGCAGCTGGACTCTCCTCTACGCGAAGGTGGGAAACTAATGCTGAAAAAGTATTCTCAAGTCGCCACTGCTATCAATAAGATACCTCTCCTCGGCATTAAGTGGGCAGCGCGTGATCTTTGTAAAAGATCCTCTTGCCAAACTCTCCCAAGATCTCTGAAAGCTGAATAAACCTGTGAGGTATCAAAGTGTGGGGTGGGGGGGGTGAAGCCATTGCACTACAACTCTTTCCTTCCTTGTGGGAGGGACAGGTTTGCGAAGGAGGGAGCCGCCAGGACCCCAGCCCAAGGGTACAGAGAGGTGCGAGAAGCCCCCCCCACACACACACAGACGAGCAGGCGCGTGCGAGCACGACCCCAG